ATAAAACTTATTAATTTATTCTTATTATAATATTTAAAAAGCTTATTACTTTTTTCTAAAATTTAAGTTATAAGTAATATTATAAAATATAAAATAAGCTTTTAAAAATAATTAACTTATAAAAAGTAACTTTAATTTTAAAAAGTATAATTTAAAAAATTTAAAAAAGTTACTAAAAACTAATTATATACTTATATTATCTAACTAAAATATAATTTTATTATTTAGTTTTTTTAGCTTTATTTAATATTATTAGATAGATTAAAGCTATATATAATCTTAAATAGTAGAAATAAATAATAAGTACTTACTTAGTATAAAAAAAATAGTAATTAAATAATAAGATTATTATCTACTAGTCTCTACTTAAAGCTTCTATTTAATTCCTTTAATTTTAATTCTATTATTATAGTTAATAATCTTATTATTTACAGTTAATAATTTAAAATAATAATTTTATTTTAAGTAATAAAATATAAAAAAGACTAATATCTCTATTATTAAGAGACTAACTTCCCTTCTAATACTTATTCTATTATAATTAATTTTTAGTATAGTAAATTTTACTTAAGTAGCTTTTTCTAGAAATAACCTATTATATCTATATTATAGATTCTAACTTTAATATAATTTAAATTCTCTTAGAATTTAAAAGATAAATTAGAAAAATAAAAGCTAAATTTCCTCTTAAACTTTTTTAAGAAAGAAAATCTATTTAAGCTATTACTATATTATTTATAATATCTAAATAGAAGCTAATAAATTATATTAGCTATTTTTAGACATTATTTACTTCTTAATAATAAAATTAAAGTTAATAGATAAGAAAATTAAATTCTTATTTATAATTTTATTTTATATATTTAAATAGAAATAGCTATATTTTATAACTTAGCTAAAAATTTAATAATTTTAATTTAAAAAGTTAAATCTTTTTTTAAAATATTACTAGAGCTTAATATAACTTTTAGTTTTAGAAGTTATTATATTATATTAAATTAGTATAGATACTAGCTATATAGAGTAAGAAAGGGGATTTAAATAACTTAAATTTTAAGATATTAAGTTAGGTTATAGGAGTTTTTATTATATTTATTAAGGTTAAAGTTAAAAAAGTTAGATAAAATTCTAGTAAAAAGAAAAAAACAGCTTAAAATTTAAAATTTAAGCTTTAATAACTATAATATATATATAATAAAAATACAGTAAATTTAAATACTAAATTTTCTTATTAAAGGAAAAAAGTTATTATAAAAAGAAATTTATAATAGGTAAAAGTTATATTTATAGCTAGTATTAACTTATTATAAAAAAAAGCTTATTATTAATAGTAATTTATAGAAATTTATAATATATTATTAAAATAAATAGTAATTTATTATAAAAAAAAACTGGTAATTTATAATAAAAAAAATAATAAAAAAAATAATAAAAAAAGAAAATAGCTTATTAAAAAAAATAGCTTATTATTAAAGTAGGCTATAATTAGTTATTAATAAAGCTAGTAGCTTATTAATAAAAAAATTAATAATATATTATTAAAATAAGTAAAAAGCTATTATTAATATAAATAGTAACTTATTATAAAAAGAAGTTAGTAGCTTAATGTTAAGATAAAAGGTAATAATCTAGTTGTTAAGTTTATGGTATTTGATATTAAATATTAAATAATAAGGGAAATTTTACTTATTTATATAATTATTAAAGCTAAAATAAAAGAAGTATATTAGGAATTTAAAAACTTTAAGAAAAAATAGAAAAAATTAATGTTTTTTACATTTTTAAAAAGAAGCTATATATATTATTATAACTCTTTAAAAATTACTATATTAATTATCTTAAACTTTTTAAAGTTATTAAAATTAATAAAGCTAATTAAAAAATAAATTACTTATTTATACTAAAAGTTTCAGGTAAATTAATTTATAGAAATATAAAATACTAATAAGAAATAAATTACTATACTTAATATAAAATTTAAGATTTTTAAAACTTCTTATAGAAAAAAAAAATAATAAAAAAAAGTATTAATAAAGTTATAGCCTAAATAAATAGGCTATTTAACTAAGCTTAACTTAAGTAGCTATAATAATACTTCTATTTAAAATTAATTATTATTATTATTATTATTATTATATAATTATTATTATCCCTTAATAAGAAAACCTAGTATTTAAATTTACTGTATTTTTATTATATATATATTATAGTTACTAAAGCCTAAATTTTAAGTTTTAAGCTACTTTTTTCTTTTCTATTAGAATCCTATATAACTTTTTTAACTCTAACCTTAATAAATATACTAAAAACTTTTATAACTTAATCTTTAAAATACCTTAAGATTCCTAATATCCATAATAACTCTTATTTAAATCCCCCCTCTAGCTAGCACCCTATATAGCTAGTATATATACTAACTTAATATAATATAATAGCTTCTAAAACTAGAAGTTATATTAAGCCCCGGCAATATCCTAGAGGAAGATTCAACTTCTTAAATTGGTATTATTGATATTTTTTGCTAAGTTATAAAATACAGCTATTTCTATTTAAATATATAAAATAAGATTACTACTAAGAATTTAATTTCCTTGCCTATTAATTTTATTTCTATTGTAAAAAAGTAAATAGCATCTAAAAATAGCTAATATAATTTATTATCTTCTATTTAGATATTATAGATAATATAGTAATAACTTAAATAAATTTTCTTTTTTAAGAAAGCTTAAGAGGAAATTTAGCTTCTATCTTTTTAATTTATCCTTTAGATTCTAAGAGAATCTAAGATTATATTAGATATTATTTGTATAATGTGGATATAATAGGTTACTAATGGTAAGGGCTCTTCAAATAAAATTTACTATATTTAAAGTTAGTTATTATGGGATAAGGAATAAGTATTAGAAGGGAAGTTGGCCTCTTGATGATGGGAGATATCTCTCTTATATTCCTTTGCTTGGAATAAGATTACTATCTTAAGGTTGTTAATTGTAGATAGTAAGGTTGTTAACTGCAGATGATAGGATTAAAGTTAGAGGGGTTGAATGGAAGCTTTAGATAGAGATTGGTAGGTAATAATCTTATTATTTAGCTATTATTTCTTCTAATACTGGGTGTAGTTTTTATTGTTTATTTCTATTATTTGAGATTATTGTATGGCTTTAATTTATTTGATAATATTAAGTAAGACTATAAAAAAACTAAATAATTATTATTATAAAAATATCTACTTAAGATATCTTATAGAATCTTCTAGAAGTAAGATAATATATTAAGCTAGTATTAATAGCTAAAGAAACTTAAGTATAATAACTTAGAATTAAAGCTATAAATTAAGTAGATTTATAGCTTAAACTTATAGTCTATATAAGCTAAAATTGTAATTCTTCTTTCTCTTCTATTTAGTAATTAAGTAGTTTTATTTAACTTATTATTTTAAGCTTAATATCTATTAATAGGTTAGAGTAGGTATTAATATACTTATATTTATTAACTAGCTTAAAATTCTCTAGTATTTCTATTTCTGTCTACTGGTATTTAAAACCTCTAGAAATCGAGATTTATATAATAGAAAAAACTATAGATAGAAAAACCTTATAGAAGCTAAGAGGGAAAAACTACTGTAGCTAGTATCTATTAATTAGAGCTATTAAGCTAGAATCCTAATACCTACAAGTAGCCAGATTCTGTGACTTCTTATAGACCTAGCTTAACAGCCAAGATCCGTAGATTAAGGCATCTAAGACCCGGAGTCATAGTAGCCTAGGCCTGGAGGCTGAAGCAGGTGCTAAGACGCAGTAGCCTTATACACCTAAGTGCCGAGACGCAGAGGTCAGGGCAAAGGTCGAAGCCAGAAGGCTTTAGCCGAAGCCTAAGCCCACCTAGATTGAAGCTGGTGTCGTGATTGCTGTTGGCTGAGATAGCTATACTTGCTGCGAGGTCTGAACCAGCATTACAGCATGTATAAGAGCCGCAGCGGTGTCGTTGGCCCCCGCAAGCCGTGCTGCTTCCTTGCTGTTATCTCAGCTGCCAAGCTGGTCAGGGCAGCAGGCTTCGATCATAGCCGGAGCCCTTGGGCTGTGGCCGTAGCTGCTGCGTAAAGGAAGTTAACCCTCTTAATTCTTCCTTCGCTACGCTGTTAGTACCCGATGGGCACTAGCTACTGCAGCAGCTAAATTTGGTGGGCCTGCAAAAGTTTTCCACGCTAGTGCTAACAGCCGCTAATCAGAAAATTTTTTCCAGGAGAGAGTTGCGTGGGCGCCGTTCCAGTGGGAGCCAAGTTCATTCAGCGCCTTACTAATCGTCCCAAGAGGGTAAAAATATGATCTGGATCGATTCTGGATATCCAGGAGGCATCACGCCTTCACCTCTGGACTGGATTGGAGCGACCCTCGGATCCAGCTCCAATCCAATCCAATAAGATTACTGTTACTGGTATTACGGGATAAAATCAGACGGTTGATTGGAGTTGAAGGTCTTCGGCTCGTTCAATATCCGGGCTTAGAAGACGAATTGAATTCTATTCTAAAAATATATACTGGCAATTGACTCTACAGGCAAAACTCCTCAGGTTCTTTCGAACAATGCCTACTTACCTATGCTAAATGATTAGTATAGAGAGGACATCAGTGTCTGTGAGAATGAAGGGCGGCTTACTGTAGCCATTGTCCTTCAATATTACTCGCCAGTCAGCAAGCCACTAGTTTTAGCAAAAGGCTTGATTGAACCCGCCACAGCACTGCCGCAGCTAAGCGGACGAGGTGCCGAGCATGCACAACTACCGATGTTGTGTCGTGGCTCTCGATGTCAAGCCACATATTATTCACGTCATCTTCAGGTTCGAGCCATATGCTAGATCGTGAGCTTCGGGCTAAAGCCACCCGCGCCACTTTCAAGCCGCAGCAGAGCAACCTCTTCATACACAGCCTTATTTGCAGACTATCAACACGTACCCGCCAAATCGAGATGTATATAAAGAGTTTCAACCTGCCAAGTGATCTCTTTTTTCTCATCAGCATCAATCACAATCATCATCACTTCAGTTTACTATCATCCACCAATCCCACACAGATAACCTACCTTACTCTCCAACACAAATCTCCTCGCCAAAATGCACTTCACTTCGACAACCCTCGCCATCCTTCTCGCCGCCTCCACCGCCTTGGCGAGTCCCCTTAACTCTCACCATCGCCGCGGCGATTACAACCAAAGTTCAGACGCCGACATTTTCCCAAGCTTTGACCGCTACTCTGACTGGGCAATCTGCAAGGGCAAAATCACCAAGGAACGCTTCCCAAATCTGCAGGCTCCAAATGATGATGGCGGCTGCGTCCGCTATTATCGGGGCATCGACATGACCGGCGTCGTCACAGAGAAACACTTCTTCTTCAAGGATGGCTTCCGGAGTGCCTGCGACTGCGCTGCCGTGTGCCTTGAGAACCCGACCACGTGTACGAACTGGGTGTGGAAGCACACTTTCATGCCCGGGGATGGTGGCAGGAGGTCGTGCACTATCTACAGCAGTCCCAATCTGCCGACCGATGTAACACTTGCATACAATACGACCTTGAGCAAAGGCTTTGCCCTGTTGCAACCTGGGAATAACCCTCAGGCCGGAGCCCCAGCCCCATTGACTTTCTTGGATGCGGCAAATACTATCCCGGATCAGTTTGGGGTATCTGGCTTCATGGTCCAGGATCAGAATCAAAGACAGTTCTGTTAGGAGGTGGTGGTATAATATGCCATATTAGACCGGGGAGTTGCAAGGGTGCTAAAGCTGCCAGCAACATGGCTCCGTCTTGAGACGCTTCATGGCTGGGTTGCTTGGGCAGCATTGATGAGTTTGTTTCCCTTTTCATTCCCTTTCTGTCATTTCCTGCTGTTTGTTTTACATTCTCTCCTTTTGTCTTATTAGATAGCTCTGCGTCTTTCCCTACTAGCTAGTCCTGCAATAGATCAACGTCGCTCCTTCACTCCTTCTCATACCTCAGGAGTTTAAATTAAATATTCCTCTTTTAATGTTCCCCCCTACTTGTGTTCCGTTCTAAACTCCATCTCGAACAGGTCTACTAAAGTCCTTCATATATTAATTTTTCACCGAGCAGCGCAAGAGTTGCCACATCCCGACTATGTTCCCTCTCTTCAGACCCAATCATCTTCATGGTATCCGTTCAGTTCTAAACCCGGTAATGACAGGTTCGAGGAGCCTGCAAACTGGGTGCGGGTCGAGCTGTGATCTATCCTGGGTAAGGCTGTTCTGGGGAGCTCTCTCGGCCAATTAACTAGGCGAAATATGCCTATCCTCCTTCACTTCAATCTTCGTCTTTCCAAACCTTTTAACTCTTAGGTTCTATGAACTATTTCAGTATTGCCTACATATACGACAGGTGATCACCCGGTTTAGCCACTCCTCCGGCTATGAGGTTGTTTACGATATCATACAGATCACCAACCTTCCGTGGAGATGGTCGACGCAGAACTGAGTTGAAGTTTGGTCAGGGCGCTGCCGACTCCTAGAACTAGGCCGGAATACTTATATGAATACTTAGTGGTTTGGTTTCGTCAAGACTAATACTAAGAATTTCGTCCTTTTAGTATATCTCATGGTATTGTTGCCTGCCTAGACTAAGCCCGGACGCTTGAACTGACATTAGTGGTAGGCATACCTTCAGATAAGATTGATATGTATAGGCCGTAATTGGATATTCACGTACCCAACTTGTGACCGAAGAGGTCATCTCGCTCCTCCAAGACGTTACCGCAAAATACAACCGCCACTTCTGCCTCACCAACTCCTGCTCCATCTTCGGTCCTGTCTTTGCCGGGTACATCTTCACCTTCTCCATCATCGGGAGGACGTACACCGTAGTCATTACCGTCCTAATAGGCATAGCTTGCTTCTTCAGATATACTGCCATCAAAAATAACGTCCAGAACCTGGCGCTCAACTGTGCCCTGTTCTTGACCATCAACGCCTATTTCTCTGCTCTATACACCTACACCGCCGGGGTATCTTGATCGCCAGAAGAAGCCCACGTCGCATGGGCCATGTCCACAGGTATGCTTTGAACCTCTAGCTGCTAACACGCGAGCAACAGACACTGCGCTCGGCTCATCGTGCTACCTTCCGCCCAACATGGACACATCTTTTGAAGTACGACCAGGAGACATTTTATCAGATGCGAACTCGATATGCAAGCACTATATGAGGACTCTATTTACCAACAGGGACCCAGAAGACGGCATCTTGGGAGAAAAGAAGCCATGTGCTAGGAAGGAAGACATAATACCAACCTCATTCACCGAAGCTAGAGAAGTAGGATCGGCAATTCGGCTTTGCAAGGGCTTGAATAACCCTACAGAATGAGAAATACACGCAGGTGGCCCATCGTTTGGAATCCTGCCCCTTAAGTGTTCAACTTCAACAGCGAGATGGCGTGATTCCTAATGAAGTTCAGTTTGGTCGAATTGCTCTGCTGTAACGAATCAACCCATTCCGCTCCCTGCTGCATCATGACAAAGGGGTAGTCGACGGAGTACAAGATGCGATCTTCCCCGAGGATACTGCGATGAAAGCTGAGCAGTTCCGTCCAGAAGTTACCGGTTGTTGTCTCCCATATATTTGTTCGCCAGTACGAGGAAAATGGACGCCGCATTGGTATGCCCTCGGGCACCCTACGCATAAGTACTGCATCAAAGGTTTGACTGTGAGCGAAACTCGCAACCAGCATTTGAAAGCGGACCAAATCTGGGGTAGAAAACGGGATGGTAGATACGTACTCTCATCAATACGCCAAAAGTCGCTCGGTATGCGTTCTCCGAGGTGGCCAACAATGACCTTAAGTGTAGGAAAACGACTTTTCAGAAGTTAATGATCATGATTGTCCTATGCTGGCTGAGCGGCATGCATGCCTCGTGGGTTAACTCACTCAAAAACCCCGTTGGTACAGAGGCCAACAATGTGATTGGAAAGGGTGACGGCGAACTGATGGGCAGGCCCCAGCATCCAAGGGGAGTGGGCAAAGTTCACACGGTTCATGAGAGCTGTAGGTGGTCTGGGGTGAAGGTAGATCGGAACATCAAGATCGACAGCCATCTGCCAGAGCGGGTCGTACTCCGGAGTATCGTAGTACAGAAGAGTATCTTAAATGATCTTGTCAGCTGGTTCTTGTCCTTATACTTCTGGCCATTCCGCAGTAGGTCAGGTCATAGATCCTGGACCTGACTTACTATTATCGGCCCCAGCCTGCTGGAAGTCATTCAGCAGTGCTCCATGGAAACCGAGGTTTTTAACACAGCGACGAAGTTCTAGAGCAGTCTGTGTTGCATTGTGCATTGAAAGAGCAGCAAATGCTCCAAACCTCATCGTATTGTTGGAAATTGATGCTGCAATATCGTTATTGGCTCGTGTTGCAGTCTCCTCGGCAAGGCGAACATGTAAGGTGCCTTGGATTCCCGGAGACGTCAACGACAAGACCATATAGTCTACACCCGTTTCATCCATCCAAAGGAGCCGCTGATTGTGGATGTCTGCCAAGTTGTTGAGAAGGTCGGCATAGGTTTGGCCTGCCCGCGGATAATGTTAGCGCATTGGGATGGTCAGGC